ACAATTTTATATTAGAGAAATGAACAGGTTGATGGTAGTGATTAAGGATGCTATTGATAGCTTGTGTAGAATGTGTTGTAAGAGTAACACATCTTTTGTCAGTAGCTTTGTTGATTTGTTATTGAAGTAGAAGAGAGTTTTCAAGATGACAGGCATGAAAAAGTCATTTCCAGACAGAGTAAGCATGTTGAAGCCATGGTTGAGTATAAGATGAGTTGGTAAAGTTAAGTGGTTGAAGGTCACATTGTGACTGTTTGTTAATTTAGAAGATATTTTGATTAATGTTAGAGATGTTAGAATATTAAGTGAATTATTTAACAAGTTTAATAATATGATCAAGTTTTTTAAGAGATAAATGTAATAGAGTACAGTGAGATGAGTATTAATAATTGTAGCTACATTTACGAGAACTTTACTAAAGATAGTATGAATAGCAAAATGAATAATAAGCATTGAATTTTGTGCCAAATTGTTTCAATACTTTTATTAGTTTCACTATTGATAGGGTTTTGTACAATAAGAGTTGTTGTGATAAGGTGTCTACAAAAGATTCCCAGTCCTCTGCAGACATAACTTTGTAGTTAAAGATATGGCAACTAATACTGGTATATTTACATAAAGGTTTGCTGTATGCATGTGGGAATATCTATGTAGAGATAAAAATTAGATGGTCACTAGAAGTTGAGGTTTGGCTGTTATCAAGACTGTAAGAGAGAAGAAATTGTATATTAAATTGGTCAGTTCAAATATAGTCAATATGACTATTGCTAGTATTGTTAAACCAAATAAAGTGTTGTTGTTAAAATAGGCTTTGATGTTATATATATTGATGTTGTTAAGAAAGTTGATAAGTTTGTATTTAGAAGAAGAATTATTTATGTTATCTTGTGTATTAAAATCACCAAGAATAATAAGGTGAATGTGAAGTTGAGAAGCTTGTTGGATCCAGTTAATAACAGTATTTTGAGTTTGATTTTAAGTAACCATGTTAGTTGATGACAGGTATACTGAGATGATATAGAGTTTGATATTACTTCGAAAGAAAATATAAAGTACTATAGCACCTCCAGAATGGGTATGAATACTGTGAATGTAGGTTTAAGATTATTGTAGATCATGATAACAGTGTCTTCAATAGAAGTAGGAGAGTTAGACCAATAGTAGGTAAAAAAGTTATTATTGCAAAAGAAGATGTTAGTTTTGTCAAAAATTTTAGTTTCTGTAATGCTTATAATAAATATATTATGGTTGAGGCAATAATCTTGGCATGCTTCTCTTTTGGTAGGTTTATTGAAGCCTTTAATATTGTGTGTAGTAATAGTTAAATTGAGATAATGTGAAGTTGGATTGGATGAAAGTAAAAAAGGATTACAATTAAGGGTTAAAGAATGATTGTCAAAAAATAAATCAGATAAGATAGAAGTAGAATTAAAGAAGTTAGATCTGAGAGGAAAATTGTAGAATATAGGAAGAAGGTATGAAGCAATAACAATATAATCTGGTAAAAGAGTATCATTAGAAAGATATATATAGGTTTCATTATAAGTTGAATTGACAGAAAATGTAATGCTAGATACAGTTTTGTTGTTATATTTGTCAATATGTTTAATTAGGGTTTGAATAGTTTGACATAAGAAAGCAGTAGTAAATGGTAATAAAGAAGGAATTTGTTAAAACATATGTGAAGATTATAGAAAATTAAAAATGTTGTAAATAATCTTTTAAAATTGTCTTCTACAGGGTCGATCACTGTATGCTTGGCTTTCACAGCTGTGTAAGATACTATAGTCTGCCCTGTATGTTGGGTCTGACTATCATTTTTCTGTCTTCTATATAAATAGACTTGTCTACCTGTTTACTTGTTTTATTTTCCTATTAACTACAATAGTTGTATCTTTTAATAAGGTGGTGTCTGCTTCAATGTTATCTTTATTAGTACTTAGATAGGCACATATATTAATATATGAAATTTTTTTTTTGATTGGACATGCATTCACTGTTTTCCATTATACTACTTGAGTAGGCTCATATTAAAGAGTGCAGCTAGTACCTTTCTATTAACAGTTCTCAATTTATATGCATTGTTTGAGAGCTTGGTATACATATAAAAGAGATCTTTATACTTGAGGGTGAGTTTGTTATTCTTGGAATACTTCTTTGCAGCATTTTCAACAAGATTTTTTCTCCAATTTTATATACAAGGCTTAGTTGGTAGTGTTGGTCATAGTAGGTCTTTTGTTTCACTTGTTTTTTATGGATCCTTTGTATAGCCATACTTCTTGTAACTGGAACTTTATTTACAAGCTCAAAAACTTATTGCAAGATGGTTTCTTCAAGTAACTCTTTACTATGGCTAGAGTGGATAGGCTATTTGCTTCATGACTATAAACAAGGTAAAAAGATGACAATTTAGTAGTTGCATTTCAGGTAGTACAGTAGGCAAAAAGTACTGAGATTACTGATAAATCCTATTCTACAATATTCTTAACCAATTTTCTAAGAGCTTTACATAAGGTTTTATTGAACCTTTCTACAAGACCATTCATTTGAAGATGGTATAAGGTGAAAATATGCTGTTTTATACTTAATTTTTCTAACAGGATCCTTACTACTTCATTTTGAAAGTGTGTTTCATGGTCAAATAAATTCAGTTAGGACATTTATAGTTACAAATTAGATTATTGTACAAGAAATCTGCAACAGTTTAAGCATCAGCTTTTTGTACTAGTTGAGCTTCTGGCAATTAGGTCATGAAGTCTGTTGCTACTATAATGTATTGATTCAAACTAGTAGTTCTGGGCAGAAGACTTACAAAGTCTATATCAATTTAAAGAAAAAAGCAAAAACAGGTATTGAATGCAAAGAGTTTTGTTCATGTGATCAGGTTCTTCTTTGGTAGGGGTTGCAAGTTTGTATGTATTTTCTTATATCTTGATACATTTGGGACCAAAAGTATAGGTTGCAGATTTTCTTAAACATAATGTCTTTATTAAGATGTCCACCAAGTGATTAAGTATATGTTAGAAACAAGATTAGGTTCACTTCATATTATTGAAGCACTTGAAGAAGCCTTCCTTTAACTCTATAGTCTTTTTTATACAAAAGGCCTTCATTCAGTTTAAAATATTTACTTTTTTTCTTGAGCCATCATTGTTGATCTTTATTGCATATAGTAGGTAAATATCCATTTTCCAAATATCTCTTCAGGTAGATATAGTGAGTTGACTTTATAATTATCTGTACTGAATAAAAAAAAACAAAATATATAGATTTTTTTTTTGAATTGCACTAGATACTTTTAAGTAGTTGAATATAGAGAGGTAAGATATAAACAATTAGGTTGCTATTACTGAGTTATGCACACATACCAGAACTCTGAGAACCTAGTTAGAATTGTTGTAAATGGATTTTTCTCTCTTACTTTTTTTTTATTTTTTTTTTTTATGATCATGTTTTCAATATTTTATTAGTAGGTTTCAGTAATTCAGAAAATCGAAACAATACTGTGTTTGTGACCATGATGATGAATTATCATAAAATTGTAAAGTTGCATTTGTAATACTCATCAAGCATGATGTCCAGTCAATTGAGATGTTTGAAGCTATTTCAAGACTGCATGATCAGTAACAACAGCAAAGAGATCCAAGCCAAAGTAGTGTCAGAAGTGTTCTATTGCCTACAGAACAGCTAAACACTCCAATTCAGTGATTGTATAATTATGCTCTGCTTTAATAAGACTTTAACTTGTGTATGCAATAATGTACTCATTTCCAAAATCATCCTTTTGTATCAAAATAGCACCCAAACTGTAACCAGACATATCAGTATGAACCACAAAAGGTTTGTTGAAATTTGGGTAATACAATATAAGGGCTTTGATTAAGTATCATTTCAGCCTTTGAAATGCATCTTCTTGTTCCTTTTTTTACTCATACTTAACCTTCTTTTCAGCAAATAATGTAGCAGGCGAGCAATGCAGCAAAATTTGGAATAAACTTGTGATAATAAGATGTTAGTCCTATAAACCCTTGAAGTTGCTGCAAATTCACAGAAGTAAAAAAAGTCTTAATTTTATTGACTTTATTATTATTAGGATGAACACTATCATGACCTACTATGTAACCTAAAAACTGCAATTAAGGTTTAAAGAAAGAGCACTTATCTATATTTAGTTTAAGACTAACAGTTTTTAATTTATTGAAAACAATGATCAGGTGCTTCACATGATCATTGAAAATATATGAGTAAATTATAATGTTGTCAAAGTACACCACAACAAATTTTTGATGCATTTTGCCAGTACATAGTTCATAAGGCATTGAAAAGTAGTAGGAGCATTACAAAGACCAAAAGGCATAACTTGGAACTTATAGATGCCAAAACTTGTTGCAAATGCCATTTTTTCATGATTCTTTTCATGTACTTTTACTTTTCAATAGCCTGATAATAGGTCTAGAGTAAAGAACAAAGTTGTGCAACCAAAAACCTTGAGCAAGTTATTGATTTAAGGTAGAGAAAACACATTCTTCTTTGTAATTGAATTGAGCTTTTGATAGTCAATACACAACCTTAACTTAACATCTTTTTTGGGAACTACACTGATAGAGAATGCCTAGAGACTTTTTGATTTAATGACCAACCCTTTTTTCTTTAGATTTTCAACATCTTTTCTGATAAACTCTCATACACCAGGGTAGCTTAATATGGGGCTTGCTTTATAAAGACAGCATTACCAGTATCAATTTTATGTACTAACAAATTCATTTGATCCAAGTTATTCATATTATGTGCAAAAATGTCTTTTTCACTATTTAATTTTCAAGAGCTTTTTGACATTATTCTAGAGGCAGACTACTACTACACATATTCTTTTTCAACTTTACTTCGAGAGATTCTTCTTTAGGTTCAGGTTCAGGTTCATTTGATAGCAACTCTTCTACATGTGACAGGTAGGTGACAGGGCTATAATAGTCTTTTTAGGGGTTTCCAAACAACTTGATTCAAGAGGTTTTATAGATAAAGTATCCTTTTGCTTCTTCTAATAATTCATCTTCAAATTTAAATTCATCAAAGATATCTTTATTCTCAGCATCTTTAAGTTTTATTGAGAGGTTTTCTTTATTACATGATATCGAAATTTTAGTGACTTTATAGTTATATTGTATATACAATCTATTCTCATTTATGTAAAGTTGGGCATACTTCATTTGAACCTATCCATTTCCAAAAGAAGGGTTTTGTTAGTTGATTTGATAACTTGGAAGATGGTTGAGACCAAAATTTTATCTACAACTAACCAACATCAACTACTTTTTCTAGAGCTCTTACTCTTACTTCATTCACAGTTACAACCATAATAGTAAAGGGTTCAGTAATCTTAAGGTCAAGCTTTTTTACTATTTTATTGGACATTATACTTACTGTAATATTAGAATTTAATACAGTAAATATAGGGTTATTTCCTATTTTATATTGCACCTAGCAGCAGTAGTTTTTCTGATTTGAGAGTCTTGAGTAGCATGGTTTTCATTTGATCAGAGTACAACACTAGTAGTACTAGCAGTGCTAGAGGTCATTTCAGCATTTTTGTTAGTTTTTAATATTGGTCAGAATACTGCAATATCTGTCCAAAGGTTACATTGGCTCTTGAGTTTATTATGTTATCAGATACATCATAAGGAACCAATTTGTCAATTATTGAGGGCTCTCTTTTTTATTTGGGTCTAGAAGGTGAAACTTCTTCAAAGAGTAATTGTGAGTTTTCATATACTTGTGCAAGAACCAACACAGATATTTTCACTACTAGTAGGTTCATTTTCAACCTTTCTTCTACTTGACTTTCTGATTTTTTGGGTTGACTTCTTGGTCTTTGTGTTGTATATGATTTGTGTCATGTCACAGGGGTTATGTATATCTTTAGTTCATTCTCATGTTCCTATTTATCTTCATTAAGATCACAAAAATTGACATTTCCATGTCAGGAGAGGAGCTTGTACATGTGGGTGAGATTGTGCTTGATTTTGATCTTCTATATTTCTTGGTCTATAAAAATTTATATTTTAGGGTAGGAGCACTCAATTGTTTGAGAGGTTATTTTGGGTCTTGGGTTTTGATTCAGGTTTTGGTTTCTTCCTCTATTCCTCTTAAATATACAATTGTGTAAAATGTGTTCAAATTCTCTATACATATAACAAGTCAGTCAAGATGAATCATGATTCTGGTAGTTTGGTCAAGATTGAGATGCTGAGGCTTCATTTTGTGCTGCAAGAGCAAAGGTTAGTTTATTGGTCATTGTTTGCATTTGGTGGATTAATTTGTCAAGATCAGTTTCTAACTTATTAATATTATGATTACTATTGTTATTATTAACTCTATATCTTTCTTTAACTCTCTTATTATAGTATTCATCTGCTTCAATCTTTTAAACATTCACTATAGTATCATCTAATATTGCTAGTTTAGCAATACTCAGCCAAGAGGCTATTTTTGGTCTTAATCCTTCTAAATACATTCATACAATATATGATTGAGGCAAGCATCCTTCAGAGTCAACTTTATGCAAAAGTTTCTTGAACTTATATGAATATGGATCTATTTATTTGTTTTCTCTTTGAACCAAAGAGTTAAGATCCACTTGCCATTTATGTCATTATTTAGAAGTAGCAAAATATTGGGTAAAGTTATATACAAAACTACCTTTAAGGTTCTTATCATTATTTCAATAGTCAAAAGTCTACTTAAAATCATTATACCAATAGCAACAAGTTCATATAAATAGCCAGAAGCTATTTTTACTTTTTTTTTAGAGAACCAATTATTAGCATCTGCTGTATAGTCAAACAACTTGACCATTCATAAGGGTCTTCTTCCTCTTCTTCATGAAATGGTTCTATATGCACTAAATTGGTCTTTTATACATGTGGTCTTGTAGAGGCAGCAATTCTAACAGTGGCTTCTTTAAAGACATTGCTATTTCTTTCAACACTACATGAAGGGATAGTTGTAGTTAAGGTACAGTTGGATTTTTATTATCTTGAGTATTACTTTCATTATTGAAAATGGAATACTGTTTTACAAGAGTTCTTTTGCCATTACTAGAGATGGAGTGTTGGTTTGTAAGATCTGGTCTATATAGAAAATAGTTGGTTATTCATTCATTATTGGCAAAAAGGTCATCCAAGCTTCCAATTTCTTGATGGTTCATATTCATTTTTTTTTTATTTCAAGATTCCTTTGATCAATTACTTTAAGTACTTGCAGATTCTATGCGAAAGGTCTTGGTCCAAGTATCATAAAGGGAAGTATCTCTTTTGTTTTTGTCTCAGTTTTTTTTTTTGTTTTTTTTTTTGTGTCCTTAGCCATTTGGTTTGGTGGTCAGTTTTACTTTCAATTGGAACTGTGATAGTAAAGATGTTTGTGGGTTTGATATATGATGTTTGTAATACAGATAAAAAATATGCTATATACTTTCTCTTTTTTTTATTATTCAAAGTAAAAATAATACTAATTAAAATTCTCAAACTCTATTTATACTAAATACTCAAACTTAAATAAACTCTATTAATAAACTCAAATTCAACACAAAAATCAAATAAACTCTAAATCAAATGAAAATCAAATAAAAAGTAAAAAAAAGTATAATGCAAAGATCAGATGATGTAGTTCTAAAGAGTCATAGTGTCAATTAGAAATTCTTTAATTGGGGAGGTAAATGTCAAATCTTATAGTCATCACCAAAATTGTTAAAGGGGTTTTGGGTTTATGGAATACAGGGTCAAAAAAAATGTAACAGATTGTTGCTCGAAAATACCAAACATCATGAAATGTTGCATTACAGAAAAGGCAAAATGATTTGGCAAGGCTAAGGTGTGAGTGCAAGTTCTTAGTTTATTACTAAAACAGTTTTTATTACTAATACAGCTATTACTAATGATGACTATTCTAAATTTGCTTCCTCTCTTCTAACTCAAAAAAAAATGCTCTTATATACAAGAATGGCAGCCCACAAAAAGAGATGACACAGGGGCCAAGATCAAACATTTTCTACTGAACTTAACAGTTTCAGATCTGTCATTATAATTGGAATCTTGAATGGCCTCATGTGGCACAAACAACTAGCCCAATCTGGCAAATCCACTTCAACAAACAGCTATAGTACCTAATTCTGCATCATTATAGCATTGTTTCAGTTGGGTGACTTGGCTTCTAAGTTTCTCAAAATACAATCAATGTACAATTGTTTGTTTGTTTTAGGGTCATTCTCACTGTAAGGAGCATAGGTTAGGGCAGCATTAGGTTAGAGCAACTCTGATATCCATTTTGCCCTTAACAATATATAAAAAAATATAATAACTCTTCTATGATAAACTAACAGTTCTGAAAAAATAAAAAAGTTTATTATAAAAAATTATTATGTTTTCTTAAGGGCCCAAGACACTTTCATGTTAAATTATTATAAATTTTAAAATTCTAAGTTAGTATATTCAGAGTTTATACATAAAGATCTATTATATTTAAAGTTAATTGTATAAATAGCTTGTATAATAATAAAATAAATAAATAATATTTTTAAGATATTTTCTTTTAGTTCAATAGCTTTATTATTTATAATCTCAATATTGTAGTACTTGAATTATATTTATTTATATTTAAATCTATCTTAGCTTTTTATTATTACAATATTTCACTTCAGAATTAGATAATATAACAGATATATAATTTGTTAGAGTTTATAAAAAAATTATATTTATTGTTACATTAAACCTTATTAACATATTGAAAAAAAAGTTGTTTATAGTAGTAGTAAAACTAAATGTTGGTAAAAAGCAAATCAACTTTTAAAAAATATACAGACATCAATAATGCTTTTTTTAAAATCAAATAAAGTAAACTTTTTTTTACATATTTATTTTTTACCTTCTTTAATATATGTTAAGCATTTAGAATGAGTTTTTTTTTTACAAAAAAGCTTTTGCTTTCTGCTTAATTTGTAATATAAATAATTAAAAAAATATATATATAGTTTTATTACTTACTGTAATTTAAAAATATATATTACGTACATAGCAGGCTATGGAACTCTTTGCAGCTGTGAGAGCCGAGCATACGGTGATCGATTCTACAGAGGAACCTTTTACTTTCTTGAATCCCATTGCATCATCACACTTCAAGAAAACACTACAAGACCCATCATACAATACATTAGTTGATCCAAACTCATGCTATAACAAATGGCTAGCCCATCAAAGTCTACCTTTACTTCCACATCCACAAACTCTTTATTCTTTTCTTGAACACATACATCCTTACAATTATACACCACTTAATCTTTACAACTTTACTCTAGCAATATTAATTAAACTAGACTATAGTGAATGCTTAATACACTTATCAAATGAACCAAAACCTTTATCTGACCACTTTATCCTACAACGATCTGGTTATGCATTCTACCCATCAATACCTATTCCTTCAAAATATTCTTCAATACTTAATAACACACAACATACCAAACCTGTTCTTGAAGATAATGCTGTAAATTACACTTATTCACAGCTAGTAG